AGAGGTGATGGGTGCACAGTGTTGTATTCAGTTCCAGCAGTTATAGATGTTTACTATGTACTTTCTAGATAGCACATTATGTCTCAGTTTTGTTCTTGCAGAGGACAGAGTGTACTTTGGGGGTTTTGGCTGATTCTTTTTTTTTTGTCCTGAAAAAAAAAATCCTCACAATAGTGCAGTTCAAAGTAAATTATCAAATTACAGATATTGTTACCAGATACAGACAGTATTTGTACCAAATACAGATGTGTTGTGATGTGTGAAGTAATATGTTCACTTGTTTATTTTCACATTTGCTTTCTAAAAAACCTGTAATAACTGTTGTAGTAAATATCAGACTAGATCAAGTAGACAGAGGTACAACATGCATTAAATAGCATAAAATCATGTATGCCAAAGTTTTATAACTCAGTAGTGACAGATTTACCTGAGGTTGGGTTGATTAACACATTATGTGTACTGTATTGGTTTAATGGATGATAATTGAATATATTTTACATTTAAAAAAAGCTTTAAAATGATATAAAAATTGTGTTGGTTTAACTAATAAAAGTTTATCGTGTAGAACAAGAATAGATCATTCTGAGTGAACATAGCTTTAATATGTGCAACAGATGTTCATTTTTTTCATGTAAATCCAACAAACATTTTCTGCAGTGCATCACACCCTATTCAATCTGTCTGGAGAGAGAGTGAAAGCTCAAGGACCACCAGTTCTCAGGTTCATCTACACCAGAGGTTCCCAGTTCCAGTCCTGGAGAACCACACTACTGGACTGTGAGTGTCCAAGTAGGGAAAACACTACAATATGCAGAGAGTGTGATCTCCAGGACTGGGATTAAGATCTGCACTAGACCATCAAGTTCCTGACCGGCTCTCACACTACACCCCCATCTAAACAGACCACTTTGAACACCCACCATAGACACTCCTACCAGCTCTCAATCTATCAGCCATTAACCTGCACCCCCCACCCAGACATTCACTGCCCTCACATTACACCCCCCTCTAAACAGATCACCTCAAACACCCACCATAGACACTCCTACCAGCTCTTAATCTACCAGCCATTGACCTGAACCCCCCACCCAGACATTCACAGCCATCACGCTACATTCCCCTCTAAACAGATCACCTCAAACACCCATTATAGACACTCCTACCAGCCAGATTTTTTTTTCCAGATTTCTACAAATAGTTCTTGCATAATGTCAGCATATCAATCAATATTTCTGCATTAATTACAGCTACATGTTAAATATAATAAGACGTCTGTTGCACATTTGTTTTTTTTAAGCGAATGACTGATATAGTTTATTTTTTTTTATCATTTACTGTTTATATCGTAATTGTTTATCTCACAGCTATTGAACACTGTGTGCTGGAGGCCTTAGGGGAAGTACAGCTGTAACTGCAGCGTTTAACTTCAGTCGTCCAGCAAAGGGCAGCAGAGAGGGACAGAGGGCTTCTTCACCAGAACCACTGGAAGAGGAAACAGAGGAAAATCCACTTCCTCTCCAGTCTGCAGAGGATTTCCAGCAGCTGGAAAAGAACCGAGGCAGCACTGCCTCAAAAACAAACTGATCAGAACTGAAATGAAGCCTTTAAACAAATTCACACAGTAAAGACCTGGAGAACATCAGTAAAGAACATCTTCTGTAGGAAAAGTTCAGATAAATAAGAAATGCTCTTCATTTATGAACTTTTTTATTAAGGTTAAAACTAAGAACAAGAGGTGATTTTAGAAAAGACCTTCTTAAACATTTTCTTACAGCAGCATCACATGTATCTTAGACCAAAAGAGTTAAGAAGATAACCCTCTAAAAACATAACTTCTAATGAGTTTAAAAAAATATCATTAATAGAACAGACCAAATTACACCAAGTGATAATATTAAATTGTGTAAAAGCTCTGAATAAAATAAATAATCAAAAATGCCTCCTTAACTCAAAATAGTTGAGTAACACGGTTTGTATCCTATTTTAAGTACAACAGATTTAATATATTTGGTCTGCGTGTCATAGCAGGTGGAAATCTCAGTCTCTTTATTTGACCTAATTGACCTGGCTGAGTTAAAGTTTGGGATAATCACATTCTTTTAATGCTAACACTTTAAGTACATTATAAAAATGGGTCAAATCAATTATTATCAATCTGATTAGTTTTTTTTAACATGTAAGAGAGCCAGTTCTATGTATCTGAGTGTAGTAATCTGTCTTTGGTGGTCTGCAGGTCCAGACCCAGAGTTGTGTTTTAATCTGATAGAGGCTCCTAAAGCTGAGAGTTCAGCTCAGAATGATGAACTACATTGAAAGATGCTCCTGCTTCTGCTCTGAATGTCAGCATTCTTCATCCGTTCTTCAGCTCTGGGTCAGTTTACTAGAGACAGAGTGGAGCTCAAACTCACTTAATGACACACTGAAATCAGTGGACTGTACAGAAGTTTTCATTACAGCATCAGCAGCTTTTCACTCTGGAAACAAAGCTGTGTTTCTGGCTTCACTGAGAACAGACTGTTCGGATCTGCTGATCTCAGGGGTGAAGAAAGCACAGCACTTCCTCCTGTGGCGGGAAACGAATCCAGTTCAAAGTGGTATAAAGTGAAAGTGAAAGTTGAGCAGCGTCTGTTTAGAGAAGAGAAGATGATGAACAGAGAGAGAAAAGCTCAGAGGTAATTACTGAAGATCAACACACACAGTTTGCTGAGGAGAACAATGAGAACCACACTAATCTGAGAAGAACAGCTGCTGGGTTCTGTTTTAGGTTCTGCTGAAAAGGTCTGTTTGATAAAGTGAGATAACTGAAGCTAAGCTAAGCTAATGCTCAGGTAGCCAATAAACCCAGAGAAATGTTGGAGCTTTTAGTGCATCAGAGCTTCTTTCTGTGAGGAGAATCTTTAATTTATGTTAAACAACACAACCATAGAGTCTCTGCTGAGTGTATACATGAGGAAGAGATTTGTACACAGCCCATGCTAGGGCTGTACAGGACACACAGACTAAACGTGTCCTATTTGTATCTGAAACTAGATTAAAAGCTCAGTTCATCAGTCTCTGAGTGTTTCTATCAGCTACTCTTATATGAAGATCCTGAAGATGCCATAACAGGATTAGTCCCGTGGAACTAAAGAGAACCTAACTGTGGCCTAATGGAGATTCTGGGCCTGTATTAGCTTTGAGTAGAGTGGTCATCTGTACACGGCTGAACTACAGCAGGTCAGAGTGATGGACCATTTACTGAGAGATCAGATTGCTGTGTTTTCATTCATCTTTTACATAAGTTTTCTAATGTCCAGTCTCAGAATTCATGTATAAATTGATTTAAAACCTATTGTGCGATTCTGTGTGATGGACAGTCTGAGCTTTACACAGCAGATTGATATCATATAATGACTGATTATGATTAATAAAGACTGGAACAGCAGAAGATGTGATGGTGCCAGTTGATCTAGAGCCCATTTTCCTGTGTCTGCTTCATCATCCCTAGTAGTGTTTTTATTGAAAACACATTACATAGTACTCTCATAATATTTAGTTTCATATGTTAAATGTTGTATCTGTTATATTTATTATCCAGGTATTATTTCATGCTACATTAATGAACTGTTCACAGAGAGCAGCATCTCCAGTGTCCAGCTGTGTGTGGAGAGTAAAACCTCAGTGATGGAGCTTCATCACTCCAGCAGTGGAGGAAGAACCTCTGATTCAAAGTGAGTAACTTTATATCAGCTCTTAACCTGATTAAACAGAAAGAGGAAATCGTGACTTATGATCAGAATAAATGAGTCTTAGTGAAGAACATAATTACTCAGCACTTTAATCTCACTGCGGATGAACTTTTCTCAGAGTAAAGCGTGCAGAATCTCCAGAACCTAGCCGTGTGTCTATGAAGAGTGAACAGTCCATGGGGAACAATTTTAATTTCAGCAGAGGAGGAGGAGAACCCAGCTGTGTGTCTATGAAGAGTGACCAGTCCATGCCTCATCCTCCTGATTTCAGCAGAGGAGGAGGAAGAGAACCCAGCTGTGTGTCTGTGAAGAGTGACCGGTCCGTGGGGAACCCTCCTGTATTCAGCAGTGGAGGAGAACCCAGCTGTGTGTCTGTGAAGAGTGACCGGTCTGTAATGTTACCACAACAGTCCAGTGGAGGGAGAGGATCCTCTAACTCAGGGTAAATAACTGCTACCAGTAAACAGCAGTTCTGACAGTGAATCACTGTAAACATGTTCCTGAACTCTGGGCTGCATGTTGTAGATCAGTTTGTAAAGGTTAGAGTACTTTTTAAATAATGAACACTGATTTTATATAATAGCAACAACAACAATTCCATTTCTATCACTCAGTTTTAAAGTTAAGGGTGGGTTATGAAGATCCCCTGGAGCTGTTAGTAGAAAGGAAGCTTATGCTGTAGTAACTGCAGATGACTGTCGGTGGGCAATATGTTGAAATTGTATTGTTATTTTGATAAACAGTGTAACAGCACATCAGAGATATCATCAGTACTTAAAGAACACTGATAATTTGCATATTTTATTACAGAGTGAGCATAATTTGGCCTGTTCAGTTGGACTTGGTGCAGCACAGTCTGTAAAACACTGAATAAAAATCAGTATGTAACACCTTTAAGGATGGGTGGAGGGAGGCAGCCAGGGGCAGGTGTGGAGACAGAGAGCCTTTTTATTATTTATACACGTCGCAAAAACCATTTTGCTTTTCAGCCCACAGACAAATTAAGACAAGACGCTCGCTGGGACTTTTCAGTCTTTTCTTTCTTTGGTTCAGCTCAGATTAGCTCTGCTTGGCTTGGCTCTCACACTTTCACAGGGCTCCTTCTCTCTCTGGGCTCTGCCACCTACTGAGGGAAGAGATGACAATAAGTAGGCTGGCAGAAACAAGGCACAGGTAAATATCATCAGCTACTTATCCCGCTGGTTCAGCCCAACTGGCTTCTACATCCTGCATTCAACGCTCGGCCATGCCCCATTCTCCACAAGTAACATTAAGGAATCTTGGTTCTGCCTGGGCTCTTACAGAACATCAGGGTATCACAGGCAGGAGCAGAGGAGGCTAAGGGGGATCAGAGGGGAACGACATGCCTGAATAAAAATCTATCAAGAACACTGAACTCCTGTAAGACTGGAGTTCTTACAGGAGTTCAGTGTTCTTGATAGGTTTTTAATCAGACCTGGTGGGAGATCCTCATTACTGACCTTACATCATTAGACTCATCTGTGACCTTTTATTATTAGACTCATCTGTGACCAAAATCTACATTGGATTTTCATTCCACATGTTAATTTCAGACTCGCCACTCATTTCCAGTTTAAGCCACACCCACTTCCAGCTTATAATAAACCACTGTAGTGGTGTTGTCATTTTGTAGTTGGTGCTGTGCTCTTATGCCCATATTAGGAACTCCGGGTCTAAGCTTCTTTTCTCTATGGACAGAATGAATGGGACTTTGGTTGTGCCGCTTAAGGTGGAACGGGAAAATTCAAACAAAAATTCAAACAGCTGGCAATAAAGCAGCATTCAGAGTTGAAAGGCCTGATAAGAGGAGGTTTCTCTGTTTCTGCTTTACAGCTGAGTAACACTAACTTGTTGGTTCTGTGAAACACTAAAAATAAGTCAGTATTTTGTTCCATTTGCTAATTTTTGTGATGACTAATCACAACTGCCTTAACTTCCATTTGCTAATTTTTGTGATGACTAATCACAACTGCCTTAACTTCCTGTTAAGGTGAAACAGGAACATTCAAGCAAAATGCTGACAAAAAAAAAAGCTAAATTCAGCCTCATAGTTTTAACACTGGTAGTATTTTTTTGATAATTACTTTTAACCTATCAAAATATCCTACCTAGAGGTTTTACTTAGGGGTATACCTGTAAATATGCGCTACGGTAGAACATTTCGATAAGGTAGCACAACTCATCATAACACCACCACAGCCTGCTTTACTTTCATTATTATACTTTCAGTATTAGTGTTAAGGCTCTTTAATGACCTCGTAAATTCAGACGATTACAATGTTCAACTTAGAACATCCTTGAATTAGTGACAAAGTTTGGCACCTGATCTTAGTGGCAGCTTCAAAACACCTTTCCACTTGATGAGGCAAAGTGTTAAGCAGCCTCAAAGAGCACCTCTGTGAAATGAGCTCCTAGAGCTCTTTAGTGAAATGGGCTGGTGACTACAGGGGCTCTTGGTTACCATGGCCTCGTTGGAAGGGTGGAATTGTTGAATTGTTCTGCAGATTTGCCGTCATCCTCTTCTGTCACAGCCTCCACTGAGTCCAGAGTCCTGTGACGATGCTGTCTTTCCTGCTCAGTTTATTGAGGTTCTTGTTGTCTCCACAGTGGCAGTGCTTCCCCAGCAGAGAAAAGAATTCTACTACAGCAGACTGACCGATCAACTGGACTGGTCATTCAGGTAGCACCTAGGTATTTGGAGCACTGACCCTTCTGCACATGTTCTGTGGATGATGACTGGGTTTACTGTGCCACATGCCAGAAATTCATGACCCCTTTCTTTGTCTTGATGTGGTTATGTTATAACTGAAGTTTGGGGGGGAGGAGCATAGGCTGAAACCCCTCTTCCAATTTAATGCCCTATAAATGCACATCCTCACCCTCCGTTCAAGTGACAAAGGGTTCGCAATCCCCGCCGCCACCCCATCTCCTCCTTGTTCCTCAGTCCTACATCAGTCCTACTACAGCTATGAGGGAGTCCAGCCTTCTAGCTACAGGCAGAAGCTGCTCAGAACTCCAGCCCAAGTTCTCAGAGTTCTGCCCCCCTCAATCAGTCTTGAAGTGCAGGTTATCACATGTAATCATGTATTACAGTTATCAAGTGTAATAACAGAAAATTCATATAATTCCACTGGAGTACTTGGGGGTCATCTATGAAAACATGTGCTTACATGTAATTCAGGTATTAGCATTATGTGCTGTGCCATTTTCTCATGTTGCTCTAATGAAGTTACAAGTGCTGACCTGTGAACACTGGGAAAACGGAAAACTGAGATTTTCTATAAGTGTAAAGAAATAACGTGTGTTTGTCAACCTTTAACCATGAATCACCATTAATTTCCACATGGACAGTATTTAAATCAAGGTTTTAACTGTTAGTGCAATATTACACTTGTCTAGGAATATTTGTTAGTATTAAACACTGACAGGAGAAATCAAAAATGAAACACATGTAACATTAAGTCTGAAGCCTGAGGTAAACCAAAAGAAACATTTACTGAATTAAAAATCTCAAATTTAGTATAATAAATGATCAGAAGATTAATGTTGTTATTTGTTTTAATGATGTTTGTTGTTGTTTGACCCCTATTAGCCAGCACTCCACGGCGGATGACGTCCTTCACAGAGTCTTAGAGAGACACAAAACCAGCATGAAGAAGAAGTACGAGAGCTTATTTGAGGGAATCAGAACAGAAGAGAATAAAACCCTCCTGAACAGGATTTACACACAGCTCTACATCATAGAGGGAGAGAGTGAAGGAGTGAATGAAGAACATGAGGTTCTACAGATGGAGAAAACATCCAGGAGACACTTACAAGACTCTTCAATCAACTGCTTAGACATCTTTAAACCTCTACAAGGTCCTGAAGGAGAAACATTAGAAGAGAACATTAGAGCTGTGAAGGCTGACAGTCTCAGACACAAAGAAAGAAAAGAAGATAACAGACCAAAAGAGCCAGAGTTCAGAAGTGTTCTGACTGAAGGCATCGCTGGAATTGGAAAAACTGTCTCTGTGCAGAAGTTCATTCTGGACTGGGCTGAAGGAAAAGCCAATCAGGATGTAGAGCTCATGTTTGTGCTTCTGTTCCGGGAGCTGAACCTGATTAAAGATGATCAATACAGTCTTCATGGACTTCTGTGTGACTTCCATCCTGAGCTCAAAGATCTGGACCCAGAGATTTATGATCAGCTCAAAGCTGTGTTTATATTTGATGGTCTGGATGAAAGTAGAATTCCACTGAACTTTGAACAGTGTGAGAAAGTATCTGACATCACTATGACATCATCAGTGGGTGTGTTGATGACAAACCTCATCAAAGGAGAGCTGCTTCCCTCTGCTCTGATCTGGATAACCTCCCGACCAGCAGCAGCCAATCAGATCCCTCCTAAATACATCAAGCGTGTGACAGAAATTCAGGGATTCAGTGACCCACAGAAGGAGGAGTACTTCAGGAGGAGGATCAGTGATGAAGACCAAGCCATGAGGATCATCTCCCACATTAAGACAGTGAGGAGCCTCCACATCATGTGCCACATTCCAGTCTTCTGCTGGATCTCAGCCACTGTTCTTCAGCAAATCATGAAACAGCATCATACAGAAATCCCTAAAACTCTGACTGAAATGTACTCACACTTCCTGCTCACTCAGACAAACATGAAGAATGAGAAGTATGAGAAGAAAAAGAGGAGAAACCCAAAGGACCTGCTGGAGTCCAACAGAACCATTCTTCTGAAACTGGCTGAACTGGCTTTCAAACAGCTGATGAAGGGCAATGTGATGTTCTATGAAGAGGACCTGAGAGAGAGCAGCATTGATGTCACTGAGGCCTCAGTGTATTCTGGGATTTTCACTGAGATCTTTAGGGAGGAATGTGTGCTTTACCAGAGGAAGGTCTACTGCTTTGTTCATCTGAGCTTTCAGGAGTTCCTGGCTGCTGTTTATGTGTTTCACTGCTATGAGTGCAAAAACATGGAGGAACTGCAGATATTTATTCCACAAAACAGAGAGCAGTCTCAGTATGATCTACTGGGTTTTTTTCACCCACAGCACAGTGAGTGGTCTAAGAATGTTCCAGTGGGGTTTTCTAGCCCACAGCACAGTGAGTGGTCTAAGAGTGTTCCACTGAGGTTTTCTAACCCATGGTACAGTAAGTGGTCTGAGGATGTTCCTCTAGATGAGGTTCTGATGGGAGCAGTGAATAAAGCTGTAGAGAGTCAGAATGGACACCTGGATCTTTTCCTCCGTTTCCTGCTGGGCATCTCACTGGAGTCCAATCAGAGATGCCTACAGGGTCTACTGACCCCAACACAGAGCAGCTCAGAGAGAACCAGAGAGCACATCAAGAGATTAATCAAAGGAGATAATTATTTTCACAGCTCCACTGAGAGATCCATCATCTCCACTGAGAGATCCATCAATCTGTTCCTCTGTCTGTCTGAAATGAATGATGAGTCTCTCTCCAGAGAGATTCAGGAGTATCTAAACTCAGAGAGACACTCAGAGGAGAAACTCTCTCCTGGACAGTGTTCAGCACTAACCTGCATGTTTTGGACCTCAGAGGAGGTTCTGGATGAGCTGGACCTGAAGAAATACAACACATCAGTGGAGGGTTATAGAAGACTGATCCCAGCTCTGACTGTCTGCAGAAAAGCTCGGTGAGTGTTACATCTACATTAATACAGCGGATTAATATCTGATTATTGATGATTGATCAGGGCTGAACACATTAGATCTTCAGTGCAGACAATGTAAAATAAATGTAAGTTATTATAGTTTTAGTTAATATGAGTAGCTGCGGGTTCACTGGTTGGCCACTTTAATAAAAACCCCTATTTTTGGAGTTATGACTGATTGTTATATTATCAGTATATACTGTGGTACACTGTGATATCGACATATTTTGATGGTGCTCTTCAGTTTTAGGAACAATAAGCATGGAATTATTCAATTTAATAATTATAACTTATTCAATTTACACTGTAAATATTTGAACCTTTTTACAGAACATATAACTGAGTAAATCTTGAAGATGCATGTTAAATGGTAGCTTATTTGGAGGCAATCATCTAAAATAAATAACATAAAACAAGACTCATTTACATGTTCTTCTATTAAACCTATTAACACTGAATAGAATTCTTAAATAAAGTTCAAGTGATGTTAAGTATGGCTCTAGTTTTAGAGCGTTATAGTGTTAGGGGAGGGGTCTCGATAAGTGTGGCTCTAGTTTTATAGTGTTGGGGGAGGGGTCACGCTAAGTGTGGCTCTGGTGTTTATACTGTTATAGTGTTAGGGGAGGGGTCACTCTAAGTAAGGCTCTAGTCTTATACCGGTATAGTGTTAGGGGAGGGGTCATGCTAAGTATGGCTCTAGTCTTATACCGTTATAGTGTTAGGGGAGTGGTCACGCTAAGTGTGGCTCTAGTGCTTATACTGTTATAGTGTTAGGGGAGGGGTCATGCTGTGTGGCTCTAGTTTTATACCGTTATAGTGTTGGGGGAGGGGTCACACTAAATATGGCTCTAGTCTTATACCGTTTAAGGGTTAGGGGAGGTGTCATGCTAAGTATGGCTCTAGTTTTAAAGCATTATAGTGTCAGGGGAGGGGTCACGCTAAGTAAGACTCTAGTTTTTATAGCGTTATAGTGTTAGGGGAGGGTCACACTAAGTATGGCTCTAGTCTTATAAATTATAGTGTTAGGGGAGGGGTCACGCTAAGTGTGGCTCTAGTCTTATACCATTATAGTGTTAGGGGAGGGTCACACTAAGTATGGCTCTAGTCTTATAAATTATAGTGTTAGGGGAGGGGTCACGCTAAGTGTGGCTCTAGTCTTATACCGTTATAGTGTTAGGGGAGGTGTCATGCTAAGTATGGCTCTAGTTTTAAAGCATTATAGTATCAGGGGAGGGGTCACGGTAAGTATGGCTCTAGCGTTATACTGTTATAATGGTAGGGTAGGGGTCACGCTAAGTGTGGCTCTACTCTTATACAATTATAGTGTTAGGGGAGGGGTCACGCTAAGCAAGACTCTAGTTTTTTTAGCGTTATAGTGTTAGCAGAGGTGTCACGCTAAGTGTGGCTGTAGTGTTATACCGTTATAGTATTAGGGGAGGGGTCACGCTAAGTATGGCTCTAGGGTCTTATACTGTTATAGTGTTAGGGGAGGGGTCACGCTAAGTGTGGCTCTAGTCTTATACCGTTATAGTGTTAGCGGAGTGGGTCATGCTAAGTTTGGCTCTAGTTTTAGGATTATAGTGTTAGGGGAGGGGTCACGCTAAGTATGGCTCTAGTTTTAAAGCATTATAGTGTTAGGGGAGGGGTCATGGTAAGTATGGCTCTAGGGTTATACTGTTATAATGGTAGGGGAGGGGTCACGCTAAGTGTGGCTTAGTCTTATCCTTATAGTGTTAGGGGAGGGGTCTCGCTAAATGTGGCTCAAGTCTTATACATTATAGTGGTTAGGGAGGGTTCTCGCTAAGTGTATCTAGTCCCTACCTTTTAGTTAGGGGAGTGGTCTCGCTAACAGCTCTAGTTTTTTTAGCGTTATAGTGTTAGGGGAGGGGTCACACTAAGTGTGTATCTAGTCCCATACCTTTATAGAGTTAGGGGAGGGGTCACGCTAAGTAAGACTCTACCTTTTATAGCCTTATAGTGTTAGGAGAGGGGTCACGCTAAGTGTGGCTCTAGTCTTATACCATTATAATGATAGGGGAGGGGTCATGCTAAGCATAGCTCTAGTCTTATACCGTTATAGTGTTAGGGGAGGGGTCTCGATAAGTGTGGCTCTAGTTTTATAGTGTTGGGGGAGGGGTCACGCTAAGTGTGGCTCTGGTGTTTATACTGTTATAGTGTTAGGGGAGGGGTCACTCTAAGTAAGGCTCTAGTCTTATACCGGTATAGTGTTAGGGGAGGGGTCATGCTAAGTATGGCTCTAGTCTTATACCGTTATAGTGTTAGGGGAGTGGTCACGCTAAGTGTGGCTCTAGTGTTTATACTGTTATAGTGTTAGGGGAGGGGTCATGCTGTGTGGCTCTAGTTTTATACCGTTATAGTGTTGGGGGAGGGGTCACACTAAATATGGCTCTAGTCTTATACCGTTTAAGGGTTAGGGGAGGTGTCATGCTAAGTATGGCTCTAGTTTTAAAGCATTATAGTGTCAGGGGAGGGGTCACGCTAAGTAAGACTCTAGTTTTTTATAGCGTTATAGTGTTAGGGGAGGGTCACACTAAGTATGGCTCTAGTCTTATAAATTATAGTGTTAGGGGAGGGGTCACGCTAAGTGTGGCTCTAGTCTTATACCATTATAGTGTTAGGGGAGGGTCACACTAAGTATGGCTCTAGTCTTATAAATTATAGTGTTAGGGGAGGGGTCACGCTAAGTGTGGCTCTAGTCTTATACCGTTATAGTGTTAGGGGAGGTGTCATGCTAAGTATGGCTCTAGTTTTAAAGCATTATAGTATCAGGGGAGGGGTCACGGTAAGTATGGCTCTAGCGTTATACTGTTATAATGGTAGGGTAGGGGTCACGCTAAGTGTGGCTCTACTCTTATACAATTATAGTGTTAGGGGAGGGGTCACGCTAAGCAAGACTCTAGTTTTTTTAGCGTTATAGTGTTAGCAGAGGTGTCACGCTAAGTGTGGCTGTAGTGTTATACCGTTATATTATTAGGGGAGGGGTCACGCTAAGTATGGCTCTAGGGTTATACTGTTATAATGTTAGGGGAGGGGTCACGCTAAGTGTGGCTGTAGTCTTATACCATTATAGTGTTAGGGGAGGGGTCACGCTAAGTATGGCTCTAGTCTTATACCATTATAGTGTTAGGGGAGGGGTCACGCTAAGTGTGGCTCTAGTCTTATACCGTTATAGTGTTAGGGGAGGTGTCATGCTAAGTATGGCTCTAGTTTTAAAGCATTATAGTGTCAGGGAAGGGGTCATGGTAAGTATGGCTCTAGGGTTATACTGTTATAATGGTAGGGTAGGGTCATGCTAAGTGTGGCTCTAGTCTTATACGTTATAGTGTTAGGGGAGGTGTCATGCTAAGTATGGCTCTAGTTTTAAAGCATTATAGTGTCAGGGGAGGGGTCACGGTAAGTATGGCTCTAGGGTTATACTGTTATAATGGTAGGGTAGGGGTCACGCTAAGTGTGGCTGTAGTCTTATACCATTATAGTGTTAGGGGAGGGGTCACGCTAAGTATGGCTCTAGTCTTATACCATTATAGTGTTAGGGGAGGGGTCACGCTAAGTGTGGCTCTAGTCTTATACCGTTATAGTGTTAGGGGAGGTGTCATGCTAAGTATGGCTCTAGTTTTAAAGCATTATAGTATCAGGGGAGGGGTCACGGTAAGTATGGCTCTAGCGTTATACTGTTATAATGGTAGGGTAGGGGTCACGCTAAGTGTGGCTCTACTCTTATACAATTATAGTGTTAGGGGAGGGGTCACGCTAAGCAAGACTCTAGTTTTTTTAGCGTTATAGTGTTAGCAGAGGTGTCACGCTAAGTGTGGCTGTAGTGTTATACCGTTATATTATTAGGGGAGGGGTCACGCTAAGTATGGCTCTAGGGTTATACTGTTATAATGGTAGGGGAGGGGTCACGCTAAGTGTGGCTGTAGTCTTATACCATTATAGTGTTAGGGGAGGGGTCACGCTAAGTATGGCTCTAGTCTTATACCATTATAGTGTTAGGGGAGGGGTCACGCTAAGTATGGCTCTAGTCTTATACCATTATAGTGTTAGGGGAGGGGTCACGCTAAGTGTGGCTCTAGTCTTATACCGTTATAGTGTTAGGGGAGGTGTCATGCTAAGTATGGCTCTAGTTTTATAGCGTTATAGTGTCAGGGAAGGGGTCATGGTAAGTATGGCTCTAGGGTTATACTGTTATAATGGTAGGGTAGGGGTCACGCTAAGTGTGGCTCTAGTCTTATACAATTGTAGTGTTAGGGGAGGGGTCACGCTAAGTGTGGCTCTAGTCTTATACCGTTATAGTGTTAGCAGAGGTGTCATGCTAAGTATGGCTCTAGTTTTAAAGCATTATAGTGTCAGGGGAGGGGTCACGGTAAGTATGGCTCTAGGGTTATACTGTTATAATGGTAGGGTAGGGGTCACGCTAAGTGTGGCTCTAGTCTTATACAATTGTAGTGTTAGGGGAGGGGTCACGCTAAGTGTGGCTCTAGTCTTATACCGTTATAGTGTTAGCAGAGGTGTCATGCTAAGTATGGCTCTAGTTTTAAAGCATTATAGTGTCAGGGGAGGGGTCACGCTAAGTGTGGCTCTAGTCTTATACAATTATAGTGTTAGGGGAGGGGTCACGCTAAGCAAGACTCTAGTTTTTTTAGCGTTATAGTGTTAGCAGAGGTGTCACGCTAAGTGTGGCTGTAGTGTTATACCGTTATAGTATTAGGGGAGGGGTCACGCTAAGTATGGCTCTAGTCTTATGCCGTTATAGTGTTAGGGGAGGGGTCACGCTAAGTGTGGCTCTAGTCTTATACCGTTATAGTGTTAGTGGAGGGGTCATGCTAAGTTTGGCTCTAGATTTTATGGCATTATAGTGTTAGGGGAGGTGTCACGCTAAGTATGGCTCTAGTTTTAAAGCATTATAGTGTTAGGGGAGGTGTCACGGTAGGTATGGCTCTACGGTTATACTGTTATAATGG